TTTTGTAGCTGTGTTCGATTTTTTGCCTTTTCTTTTTTCTTTTCGACCCCTTTCCTCAGCTAAAAATCGAACACAGCTACAAAAAGCAGTAAGGACTTTACTATACGAACTCCCCAAATCCATGCCAGACAATACCGGCAACTGAATTTCTCTAATCTTCGATCCCGGTTGGGGTTTGTATCCCCTTGATGATACGACAAATAATCTTTGATTTCAAACGTTTGTACAATATTTTCTGAAATAAAGAACTCATCTTTTCATTACACTTTTGAATTTCTGTTCGAAAAATTCAAGTAATTATTTATCTTAAATGGAAAAAGAAACCGGTTGATGGTGCTCATCCGTTGATTAACTATGTAACGGTGACAGGGATTTATAGGCTGGCCGTTTGGGATCTCTTACCTGTAGCGTTTGAGCAACATTTACACCTTGTGTGATCCTAAATTGATGTTGTATTTTAATAACTTTTTATACTGTTTCTGTTTTTTCTCTTGACACAGTTCAGTGCAATGTAACTCTGCGTTCCCCTTATCGGACCGGTTTTCCTCCAACGTCTTTTTACCCTTATTTGACTGACTCCACGGGGTTGGACATTGTTATACCTCTGGCTATCCGTGTGTAATTTGTTTAAGAGAATTTGCGATCTAACTATTTTTTTTCGAAAACGAAAATCAGAAAACTGAAATCTTTCTGACTTTCCGTATTGTGGATCGCTTTTGAAAATTTGCTACCTTTCATTGCTATCTGGAACTGTACGGTCACTTCTCAGTAAACGATATCGTTCAATTCAGGGCTAAGAATGAAGTAAAAAGTCAAAGGACGGTGGTGAGATTCGAACACGTCGCTTGTGGGCTCATACCATTTGGAACTTAGATTACTTGATCGTTCCCCCATTATAACGCAGGCATCTATCCGCCCTGTTCTTGCATTGCACAACTTTTATATATTTGCATCCATTCCATCTTAGACTTAATATGTCTGAGGTTATTGATCGCTCTCTTTGGCCTCCGAAAGCCTCAGTATAACCGGGGTGACTGTCTCGTGTTGTGACTGGTCACTACTCCCTTGCACCTTGCGAAATGGTCCTATATGACCAAGCATCTCTAATAGCCTCTGCTGAGGAAGGCCTACTCACTGCTTTCTCTCACCAAAATGAGAAGAAAAATCGATATCCGGGGCTATAACTGGTTCGATGAACTACTGGTAATTGACCTAAAGGAGTTGACCAAAACTCTGATTTCAAACCCACCAAGAATAGGTGTACGAACCAAACTCATCCAGAGCTTCCTAGTCGTGGTGGTGCTCACCGACTCCACTGGATATCGAGGGATGATGGGCACCTTGGACTTTTGACCCTTTCCAAAGGGCGTATGATCCAATGAACTGGACACTGGCTCCCAACGGATTGCGGTCTTCACACATCATCCTGCTGCCTTTCGGGTCAGGCTTTGGCTAGCCGAAGTCTCCAATTGTGGATTCCTCACGAAAATTCACTCGCTCCGGCCTGAGCAATCAAGTAGTGGTGCTCCCACGAGCAAATAACGGACCTTTTTTCTTTTTATAAAGATTATTTTTTCCTTGGTCTGTTTGGCCCACAGTCTGGACTCAGACGTATATGAACAAAAAGAGAATAGTGATAACTGTTTGTTCCACGCTTAGAGTTGAATATAAATATGATAATATATGCATATAAAATATATATAATTGAATACCAATTCATATTACTATTGGCAAACGCGTTGCACAAATGTATTTCTTATTCATTGTGGTTTGGCATTCAAATGGTATCTCTCAGCCGTGTTATATGTCACCATGGTTAATTTTTAGTTTAGTACCTTGGCTAGGCATTCCTCGCCCAAGATGTTGTCATGTTTCATCAACTAATACTCAATTCCCCATTGAATTCGTCCTTCACCTGAATGCTTTATGGGTTAGACGCTCTTTTCGGACCTACTCGATGT